AAACATGTGCCTGAGCGCCATCCACATCAATAGAAGCGCCATCATCGTTCCGCGCGGAACGATGAGAGGTTATTTGGTACAATATCGTCGGTAAGAACTCACAAAACGCCGTGATCATGAACGAGCCGGACATGAGTTATCTGCCAGGTTTTTCGTTGACAAGCACTGTCGGATATAGTTCAAGAAACCATAACAAGAAAGACAACGTATCAATTGTGCCTAGAAAGCAAAAAAAAAAGTGTACAAAAGTCGCTCCCAATATGCATAGGGGTATGATAACATTTTTCAGAGGAAAACGTAAAATGAATGACGGCTTAGATGCAAGTAGCTGATCGTTTCTGCAGATATAACAGGGTATGCAATTGCGGAGCCACGATAATTCCTGAAAGCGTCCCATCGCGCACTCAAATCACCAACGGCAGAATGTATCAGATAACCGTGATGTTCCGACCGCAACATCAAACAACAAAACCCCGCTCTTCTGCTTGGGACGTCGCATGCGGGGAAGGTGCAACCCAGCGCAGTGCCTATCACAGTGAAACGGTCTTGTTTCGTCCACCCTGCTGGTCCTCACCACCGACAGCCGCTGGTGAGACGAAAACCTTCGTCGTCCAATTGGTTCACTTGTCAACTTTCGCCAACGACTCGCGCTCAGTTTCAGTCGGAGCCAAAGCAACTCAAGTCAAGTCTTCCTAGGCAAACTCATTGATCATGTCGACCGGGCCCACTTCCACGATGCCGAACCTGCAGTCCTTGTCGCCTGTGACCATCACACCCACTCGGATTTCCAAATCGTCGGAGCCGCTTGCGTTCTTGGAAAAGATCGGTCACGTCGAGATCAATCGCACCATTGTGCGGGGCGGTGTCGTGTACTACGTGCTGGACGTGTATCTCGAACACAGCACGTCGCGCATCCCGACCAACAAGTCCACCACCACAGGCCGACCCGACTATCAGTTGCAGCGCCGTTTCAACGATTTCGCCAATCTCCGCTATCAGGTGTGGGCGTACGCACAGCGCAAACATCGGGACGGATGCGCTTGCAAGTACTGCGACGCGTTCATGAGCTACGTCGTGCATTCGATGTCCCAGCCGCGGTTATTCGTCAAACTGGCCACCGGTGTGGACACGCGCAAGAAGCTGATGGCGACATTCTGCAACGAGTTCCTCAGCATGACCATCGGTGGCAAGACCGAGCCCAGACCTCGCAATATCGCGTGTGACGGCTTTCAAGCCATCCCGTACGTAATGGAGCGCTTTTTCCGCAAAGAGACGTAGTCTTCTTTTTGAAGGTGACCTGAAATCGATCGAAGATTTCAGTTAGTATGGGCGGACATGCAGATATGTATTCATATTTATTTCCTAGACGAGGAACTGCAACCGAGCATCTAAAGGCCAGGGGTTCGATGGAAGACCCCGGGCTCCAGTATCCTCAATACAACAATATCACTTTTCTGACGCTTGCTGTAAACGGCGACAAGCATTTCGAGCTCAACTTTAACGGAGGTGATATCTACTAGTTATGAATCTAGCACTAGCGACTCGGGGAATCAAACCTGCACTGTAAGACATTAAAGTTTTGTTACATGTTCGAAACTTTTGTACCCCGTTTCCAGGAGGTGGTTGCTCCCGTTGAAATCGTTTCGATCCCAGCTACCCGATATGCACCTACATTTTCCGATACGAAGCATTAGGCTTCACTTTTAGGTCGAGCATGTATTCGACGATTGCGACTTTGTTTTTGCAACATGATCGTATCGACAGGTATACCTATTCCATCCTGAGTTGGGCGAATATGCCCTACGCCAGATGTGGCTCGATAAATTCTGCTTCTGAACTTTCGGTTCAAATGATCATATCTGCTTCAGGCGACGGAACCTAAACTCAATCTCACCGCGTTATTGATCCTTATCAATTTCGAGCCCATAATCCTTCCTAGAGTTCTATGGCACGATCGAGACGGCAGTCACTTAAGTTTATGTTGCATGTAGTCCAGCGGTGTAACGACAATGAAAAACTATGGTGCTAGGTTAAATGTATCCCCCCCCCCAAAAAAAAGCTATTGCAACAAAGTGTTCGCAGTTCTACTTTAAACTCTCCGATCACTGCTAGAATGCGGTCACCAAGGTGCGTTGAAGTGAATAAAGTATACTGGTATCGATGGCTACCAGGCAAATCAACATTGGCAATGGTGCTGCCGATGTCAACAAAGAAAACGGTCTGAAGATGGTGATACTAATTCATTGATGGCTTAGA